CACGGACTCACACAGAGACCCACAGACTCACACAGAGACCCACAGACTCACACAGAGACCCACAGACTCACACAGAGACCCATAGACTCACACAGAGACCCATAGACTCACCCAGAGACCCATAGACTCACACAGAGACCAAGAGACTCACACAGAGACCCATTAGACTCGCGCAGAGACCCATAGACTCACACAGAGACCCATAGACTTGCACAGAGACCCATAGACTCAATAATATGGAGACCCATAGACTCGGTCAGACTGAGCTGCGATGAGACCGGGTTCTCGAGTGTAGCGAGTTCGCGTGCTCAGCGTGGCCACCATTGACTGAAAGTTATTAATTTGTCGGTTTTAATGACAAAGCTCCAGAGATTTCCCCCGAGCGTGGGGATCAAAATCAAGCCCCTCACCAAAGTTCCTGATGCTCGCACGAGCATTGAGGCATTGCTGCTCACCTCCTGTTTACACCCCTGCAGGGCCAGGGGCCAAAATACCACATTCCTATGACAGGGACGAGTCTATCCATCGGACGGCCACTGTTGATTTCACCGCAACGCGTTGCTAGTTTTATCTGCACCGGAGGGAGAGATGATGATGGCGCGGAGTCGACCCCAACCTCAATCGGGGGGCGTCAACTCGCGACCTTCCAGATTGAGATGCCCGTGGACGTGAGCTTGGCAGCAGTCACGTCACCACAGGGTGGTGCACTGCTCTCTGCCACGGGTCCAGACAGAGTCGCCTGCATCTCGTGACGCGAGGCTCGAAGCGCACTGGGATTGATTGTAATTGACAAAAGACCCGAGTTCGATTCAAGCTCGCGGCCAACAACGGCGACGAATATCTGAACCACCGGTCCCGCGCCTCCCCTAGGTGACTTGGCCTTAAATGTGTACCTGGTGCGGTGCGTATAAAGCATCAGCGCTTGGTGAGACAAAGGCGGGCGGGCAGGCGGGCACGGGGCTGGCCACACCGCACAGTGAGTTTGTGAGCGGGCAAGCGGGCGAGTGCGTGCAATAGCATCTGTGTTTGTGTGGTGGGGAGCGGTGGCGCAGCTGTGAGCTAAAACCGCTGCTCTACGATTCCGGCAACCCGAGTTTAATTCCCGCTCGCAGCCACCAACACCCAATGGCGACTATCTGAACCAGTCCTGGGCCTCCCCTAGGCGGACTCAACGTTAAAATGAGTACTTTGGTGCGGTGTGTAAATATCAGCGCTGGGATGACCAAGGCGACGTGGGCACGGTACTAGCCACCCACCACCTTCTCGTGTGCTGTGCCGACCTCTATAGGCGCTGTTCACGAACAGCACTTGCCCCGGACAGTCTGTGTGGGCTATAGGGGGAAGGGGATCTTTGTCTTGTGCGTGCGAGCAGGAGTGAGGTACATTGATCCGTGGATTCTCTAACTCGCATCGATTCCCATAACCTAAGCGACGCACGCGTGAAATCTCGTGCGCGCGAGACATCGACGTCTTGTCGTCAAGTTGTTACACGTTGCTTGTAGCGGGATCGCGCGAGACGTTTTAGCCCACCAGTGGCCGCGATGTTGTGCGTGCTGTTGAGTTTTCGCAGTCGCATCGCTCCGATTCGGTTGTCTCGCGAGAGAAATTGCTGCTCGCGACCCGCGCGGACATTTTTTGTCGTCGTGGTTGGTGCTGCTGCTGCCGCCGCTGTTGCTACTCCCTCCGACGCGCTTTCGGGACGGAGCCGTTCGGCATGTTGTCCGACGTTTCGCTCCGCGCGCCGGCTGGGAGCTCGCGAGCGTCGTCGCGCTCCTCGGCGTGTCCCTTGCCGTGCTGTGTTACGCTTCTGCCGATCCTGTGGAATAAACCTTTCTCGCTCTCTCTCGCTCTCCACCTTCAGCTTCCTGCACTTTTGTTTCATCTCCCTGCCTGGACTCTCTTGTTCGTGTGCTCTCTTGCTGCACTGTGCCCTCGCTAACAAACAGCAGCAGTAGCAGCAGTAACTTCTACGAGGCCTCGCTCCTATACTCTGCTCAACTTCTCACCTATACTCTGCTCATCCTGCCAATCAACACACTAACCCCCTCATAAGGGCTTTTGGGTTAGATCGTGTAAGTATAAATGTGTCGTAACCCTCCACCACCCGGCATAAGGTTTGTCATGTAAACAAAATTACCAGCGAACGACGTACTCAAATTGTAAATGTTGTGGATTTACTCTCCAACACACCGGTGGGCGGAAGTAGTAACTAATTGGCACGTTTTGTTTAGGTGACAGACCTTACTGGCTGTGTCGGGTGGTGGAGGACTACAACACAACATTTATATTCACGCGATCTAACCCAAAACACCTTTATTATGAATAATATTGGTGGCGAAAGCCTCCTACGCGTTAAACACACTAACCCCTAGCTTAGGATTGAGCCTGGTAAGGAGGTAGCAGTTTCATAGGTGAGGCCGGTGTTGGGTGGCACTGGGCGTGGGTGAGGCCTGTGTGAAATAGGGAGTGGCACTGGGTGAAGCTTTGTGTCGAATAGGGGGTGGCACTGGGCTTGGTTGAGGCCTGTGTCGAATAGGGGGTGGAACGAGGCCTGGTTGAGGCCTGTGTCAGGGGGTGGCACTGGGCCTGGTTGAGGCCTGTGTCAGATAGGGGGTCGCACTAGGCCTGGGTGAAGCCTGTGTCAGGGGGTGGCACTGGGCCTGGGTGAGGCCTGTGTCAGATAGGGGGTGGCACTGGGCCTGGGTGAGGACTGCGTCGAATAGGGGGTGGCACTGGGCCTGGGTGAGGCCTGTGTCAGATAGGGGGTGGCCCTGGGCCTGGGTGAGGCCTGTGTCAGATAGGGGGTGGCCCTGGGCCTGGGTGAGGCCTGTGTCAGATAGGGAGTGGCACTAGGCCTGGGTGAGGCCTGTGTCAGATAGGGGGTGGCACTGGGCCTGAGTGAGGCCTTGTCAGATAGGGAGTGGCACTGGGCCTGGGTGAAGCCTGTGTCAGATAGGGGGTGGCACTAGGCCTGGATGAGGCCTGTGTCAGATAAGGGGTGGCCCTGGGCCTGGTTGAGGCCTGTGTCAGATAGGGGGTGGCCCTGGGCCTGGGTGAGGCCTGTGTCAGATAGGGGGTGGCCCTGGGCCTGGTTGAGGCCTGTGTCAGATAGGGGGTGGCACTGGGCCTGGGTGAGACCTGTGTCAGATAGGCGATGGCACTGGGCCTGGGCGAGGCCTGTGTCAGGGGGTCGCACTGGGCCTCGCACTGGGCCTGGATGAGGCTTGTGCCAGATAGGGGGTGGCACTGGGCCTAGGTGAGGCCTTGTCAGGGGGTGGCACTGGGCCTGGTTGAGGCCTGTGTCAGACATGGGGTGGCACTGGGCCTGGGTGAGGCCTGTGACAAATAGGGGGTGGCACTAGGCCTGGATGAGGCCTTGTCAGGGGGTGGCACTAGGCCTGGGTGAGGCCTGTGTCAAAGTGGGTGGCACTGGGCCTGGATGAGGCCTTGTCAAGGGCGTGGCACTGGGCCTGGGTGAGGCCTGTGCCAGATAGGGGGTGGCACTGGGCCTGGATGAGGCCTGTGTCAGATAGGGGGTGGCACTGGGCCTGGGTGAAGCCTGTGTCAGATAGGGGGTGGCACTGGGCCTGAGTGAGGCCTGTGTCAGATAGGGGGTGGCACTGGGCCTGGGTGAAGCCTGTGTCAGATAGGGGGTGGCACTGGGCCTGTGCCCAATTAACAAGCATTTTTTGTCCAACAATGCACATTTACTGTTAGACACCTCCTGAGGTGCAAAACATCGGGACGTATCACATAGCTGGAAGAAGCAGAAAGTGTAAATGTGCGGGGGGGGGGGGGGGGGGGAGCTACACGAGAATAAGTGTTGGATTAATATTGTTATTGTTGTTTATAAAAATGTACGCGACTTGTAAAACAACCAGGGCCTTCAGTGTCCCCGGGAGAATTGGAGATTCGCCAGGGGAACGGCAGCTGCCTCGAGAAGAGGATGGGACCCCCCCGGGGAGACAGGAGGCAGCTTCTCGGCACCAAAGTCCCCAAAACGCCAAGAGCACAGCAACAAAACATACAGCACGAGTATCATAGTAGTCTTGAATGGAGCAAGGTTGTTTATTGTGAGTGGCTGGGGAGAAATACCAAAGTGGAGCTTTGCAGAAAGAAAGGCGTGAGGTGACCTGCAGTGTGGTGGGTGAGTGAGTGGGTGGGTGAGTGAGTGAGTGGGTGGGTGGGTGGGTGAGTGAGTGGGTGGGTGGGTGGGTGAGTGAATGAGTGGGTGGGTGAGTGAATGAGTGGGTGGGTGAGTGGGTGAGTGAGTGGGTGAGTGAGTGAGTGGGTGAGTGAGTGAGTGGGTGAGTGAGTGGGTGGGTGAGTGAGTGGGTGGGTGGGTGAGTGGGGAAACGGTCGTGCATTGGTTGGCGTAACGTGGTACGAGCCTAGCGAACCAAGTTCCATTCCCGCTCCCGGCCACCGACACCAGTGACGATTATCTGAACCGTTCCTAGGCTTCCTCTCGGCCTGCTCGGCCTCGTATCAGTATCTGGTGCAGTGCATCAACATCGCCACCAGCGAGACAAAGGCGGCCGGGCGTGGTGCTGGCCACCCCATCCCCTTCATGTGTTGGCCTTCATAGGTGCTCATCGCTAACAGCACTTGCCCCGGGGACAGTCTGTATGTGCTACACGGGGATGATCTTTGTCTTTCTTGTGTACGTGTGTCTGGCTGCGGGGGTGTATCAGGTGAGGAGATCTTTGAAAACGCGCACACGCACGCGACCCTGGGGCCCGCGGGAGACGCGGCAGTGCACGACGCCGCTCCGCCATGCCCCGTGACCTCCACCCCGTGCCCCGTGACCTCCACCCCGTGCCCCGTGACCTCCACCCCGTGCCCCGTGACCTCCACCCCGTGCCCCGTGACCTCCACCCCGTGCGGCACGCACACCCCGCCACAGGTGAGCGCGCACACTCGTTGCACCACAGGTAGGCACACACATTTGTGAGCACACACACTGCGCGACGAACCCAGTAGACCCGAGTTCGATTCCCGCTCACGGCTACCAACACCAGTGGGCCTCCCTTGGTCGACTCGGCATCAAATGAGTACCTGGTGCGATGTGTAAACATCCACACTGGGGAGACAAAGGCGGTCGGGCGTGGTGCTGGCCACCCACCCCCTCGTGTGCTTCCGGCCTTCGTAGGTGCTCACTAACGGCACTTGCCCAAAAAGTATTTTAATGCTGTACAGGTGATCTTCGTCTTTGTAGCGGTTAGCGTGAACCAGGTGACTCCAATTCCCGCTCACGGCTAACACTGGTGACAATTATCTGAACCGGTCCTGGAACTTCCCTAGGTCGACTCGGCCTCAAACGAGTGCCTGATGCGGTGTGTAAACATCGCCACTGGGGAGACAGAGGCGGTCGGGCGTGGTGATGGTCCCCTTGTGGGCTGTGCCGGCCTTCGTAGGTGCTACCCTCTCGCAGGACTTGCCCCAGCAGGTCTGTGAAGGCTATACGGGTGAATCGTTGCCTCTGCGTGCACCTGTACGCGTGTCGCAGGTACGCCTGGTGCATGGCCACGCGTACGGCAGCCTGCTCGACCTCTGGGCCCCCCACGGGAACGTGGGAAGTCGCGGCGGGGAGGGCGGCGTGGAGGGTGAGGACACGGCGGAGAGCAGGTGAGACCCCCCCCCCAGACCCCCCCCCACCTCTGCGGTGGGTGGCCCGCTGCCCCCCTCTCTCTAGGAGCGGCTGGGAGGGTCGGACGTCGCCTGGAGGGGCGACGCGGTCTGCGCGAACGATGAGCGGAGCGGGAAATGGATAGAAATGTGGTAGCGGCGGTGGGGGTCAAAGTGAGGGCTCGCCCACCGCTTCTGACACTTATGTATGTACGTTTGTTGAACTTGATTCGCGCCGTACGTAGCCAACCGTGCTAATCGGAGGTGCGTGAGAAGGACGACAACGTAAACCAAAAAAAACATCTAATTCGAGATTTGAAGCTTTCGTGACTGCAAGGATTCATACTCTTGGGTTTTTTTCCGGTAAAGTCACGTGACTTTACCGAAAACACCTAAGAGTATAAAACAACATCTGGTCAGCGTGGTTTGAACGAGCGCTTGCGGGGCCGCGCCTTTAACGTTTACTTCCCCGTTACGTTGTTTGGCCTCGGGGCTGCCGCCGTGCCGTCTGCCAATCGGTGCGTTCACGACGGGAGAGATTACCGCTGGTGCCGGGCGAGGTACACTTTTACGGCTCTGACCGATTCTGGAAGCGGTGCCCGGTTTAGCGGTGCCCACCACTAAACCGGGCGTGCACACCCACGCGTACACGTGCGTGCGTACACGTGCGTGCGTACACGTGCGTGCGTACACGTGCGTACACAGGTGCGTGCGTACACAGGTACGTGCGTACACAGGTACGTGCGTACACAGGTGTACACATGCGTACACGTGCGTGCGTACACGTGCGTGCGTACACGTGCGTGCGTACACAGGTGTACACATGCGTACACGTGCGGTGCGTACACGTGCGTGCGTACACGTGCGTGCGTACACAGGTACGTGCGTACACAGGTGTACACATGCATACACGTGCGTGCGTACACAGGTACGTGCGTACACAGGTGCGTGCGTACACATGCATACACGTGCGTACACGTGCGTGCGTTCCCTGTGTCTGACGCTGCAGGACCCAGGAGCCCCACCAACAGTTCACCCCTCCTCAGCCATCACCACCCCCTGGCTGGGGTGGAGGGAGGGGCAAGTCCTGCGTCCCCAGTCCTGGCCACGGCTCCCCGCACCTCCCGGCCAGCGACACGACGACCCCTCCCGCCGGCGGCCACGAGTGGTCCCTCCCCACGCTCCCCGACCTCGCGTCCGGCTCCTCGCTCGCCGAGCTGACGACCGACGCCTTCTCCGTGACGCTTGCGCCGCCGCCGGCGCCGCCGTCGCGCGCCTCCTGGGAGCTCTTCGAGGACAGCGTCCTCGGCCTGTGGCTCGCGGGGAAGGCCGAGGGCAGCGTGGCGCAGGCCGGGAGCGACCGCGAGGGGCCGGCGGCGGCGTCGCCGGCGGCGGCGGCGTTGTGGGCCACGGGCCTGGCCTCGCCTAGCAGGCCCGAGCTGAGCACCAGCCTCTTCTCGTCGCCGTCCCCGCCGCGCACACGCCTGCACATCAGCCTGTCGGAGGAGGAGCTCGCGGCCAGCCTCTCGGACGACTCCGGGGTGCCGGACCGGCGCGATTCTGCCGGGGAGCCCGAGGAGAGCCCCATGCGCTGATGCCGCCCCCCCCCTCCCGCTAACCGCCAACCGGCTGGGCCGCCCCCTTGTTGTGGAACGCGGCCGGACGGAGTGGCTGGTGAGCGTGCTGGGTGGGGACACGCGAGGCCACGTGGGCCAGAGCGTGGTCGTGTTGCCGAGCGTCCACCGACCTCGGGGTCGCCACGTGGCCGTGATATTTGTCTACGGATATTAGTCTGAGTAATGTCAGTCTGTGGGCAATGTTAGTTTACAGGCCGTGTTAGTCTATGGGCAATGTTAGTCTATGGGCAATGTTAGTCTATGGGCAATGTCAGTCTATGGGCAATGTTAGTCTATGGGCAATGTTAGTCTATGGGCAATGTTAGTTTACGGGCCGTGTTAGTCTACGGGCAATGTTAGTCGATGGGCAATGTTAGTCTATGGGCAATTTTAGTCTATGGGCAATTTTAGTCTATGGGCAATGTTAGTCGATGGGCAATGTTAGTTAGTCTATGGGCAATGTCAGTCTGTGGGTAATGGTTGTCTATGGGCAATGTTAGTCTATGGGCAATGTTAGTCTATGGGTAATGTTAGTCTATGGGCAATTTTAGTCTATGGGCAATGTTAGTCTATGGGCAATTTTAGTCTATGGGCAATTTTAGTCTATGGGCAATGTTAGTCTATGGGCAATTTTAGTCTATGGGCAATGTTAGTCTATAGGCAATTTTAGTCTATGGGCAATGTTAGTCTATGGGCAATGTTAGTCGATGGGCAATTTTAGTCTATGGGCAATGTTAGTCGATGGGCAATGTTAGTCTATGGGCAATTTTAGTCTATGGGCAATTTTAGTCTATGGGCAATGTTAGTCGATGGGCAATGTTAGTTAGTCTATGGGCAATGTCAGTCTGTGGGTAATGGTTGTCTATGGGCAATGTTAGTCTATGGGCAATGTTAGTCTATGGGTAATGTTAGTCTATGGGTAATGTTAGTTAGTCTATGGGCAATGTTAGTCTATGGGTAATGTCAGTCTATGGGCAATGTTAGTCTATGGGCAGTGTTAGTCTATGGGTAATGGTTGTCTATGGGCAATGTTAGTCTATGGGCAATGTTAGTCTATGGGTAATGTTAGTCTATGGGCAATGTTAATCTATGGGCAATGTTAGTCTATGGGTAATGTTAGTCTATGGGCAATGTTAGTCTATGGGCAATGTTAGTCTATGGGTAATGTTAGTCTATGGGCAGTGTTAGTCTATGGGCAATGTTAATCTATGGGCAATGTTAGTCTATGGGTAATGTTAGTCTATGGGCAATGTTAATCTATGGGCAATGTTAGTCTATGGGTAATGTTAGTCTATGGGCAATGTTAGTCTATGGGTAATGTTAGTCTATGGGTAATGTTAGTCTATGGGTAATGTTAGTCTATGGGCAATGTTAGTCTATGGGCAATGTTAATCTATGGGCAATGTTAGTCTATGGGTAATGTTAGTCTATGGGCAATGTTAGTCTATGGGCAATGGTTCTTTCTCGAAGAGGTTGGCTATCTTGGCTTCCTTCCGTTGAGCTCTGTCCATGACATGCACTCAACTGCCTCCCAGTAGCATCCGATCATTAACATTGCCCATGGAACTCATGTCAAACACCACATTCATACGCGGCTTCTCGTTTTCCTCTACTATACGTACAAGAAATCTAACTTTGCCCGTCTCGAATTATTCTCAACAATGGTCTTGTAGTTGTACAGGGACTCCTCTATTTAGGAACAAGTTAGGTTCCAGAGGTCTGTTTGTAAGTCGATATGTTCGTTATTCCAGCTTTACTCCTGTCCATTCCAAACATGTGTTACAGCATGTACACTAAACACGGGGAATGGCTTTAAACTTTTATCATCTCCTGTAGATGTAGATTCCACCGGTTCTTCACGTTCTGCAGATGTAGATACCACTGGTTCTTAACGTTTTGCAGATGTAGATGTCACTGGTTCTTCACGTTCTGCAGATATAGATGCCACTGGTTCTTAACGTTTTGCAGATGTAGATGTCACTGGTTCTTCACGTTCTGCAGATGTAGATGCCAATGGTTCTTCACGTTCTGCAGATGTAGATGCCACTGGTTCTCAACGTTCTGCAGATGTAGATGCCACTGGTTCTTCACGTTCTGCAGATGTAGATGCCACTGGTTCTTCACGTTCTGCAGATGTAGATACCACTGGTTCTTAACGTTTTGCAGATGTAGATGTCACTGGTTCTTCACGTTCTGCAGATATAGATGCCACTGGTTCTTAACGTTTTGCAGATGTAGATGTCACTGGTTCTTCACGTTCTGCAGATGTAGATGCCAATGGTTCTTCACGTTCTGCAGATGTAGATGCCACTGGTTCTCAACGTTCTGCAGATGTAGATGCCACTGGTTCTTCACGTTCTGCAGATGTAGATGCCACTGGTTCTCAACGTTCTGCAGATGTAGATGCCACTGGTTCTTCACGTTCTGCAGATGTAGATGCACTGCTTCTTCGCATTCTGCAGATGCCACCACCACCATCGATTGCGTGGCGGTTGAACTTACAACTCTCGGTCCGAACTCGCAACTGGACATACGTTCGTAAGTCGATGTTCTTGAGTAGATGAGTCCCTGTACATGTAACCCTGCTGCTCTCTGACGCATTCGTATTGTGAAGTAAAACAAAACACTAAGACTTTTTATACACACCTAATCAGCCGCACAGAGAGGACCCTTTGCCGATAAACGCGTGGAAACACGCCGGTAATTGGTTAAAGCGAAAGCCCGGCTCTGCTGACGAAACGTTGAATCTTTAATCCGCTCCCGGGGAGTTGGTGCTCACTTTGAACTAACGCCGAAATTATGCTGCTGCTCCCAGGAGTAGGCCTCGGCAAGGTAAGGTAAGAACGAGCCTACCTTTACCCTACCTTTTACCTTACCACAATACAATCACTCTACCCTTACCTTTTACCCTATAGCAAGGTAAGGGTAAAAGGTCAAAAGCAACGAGCCTACCTTTACCCTACGTTTTACCCTTAACCCATACAAATTACCCGATTACAGGGCAATTACGGGGGCACTACAAATGAGCGAGGTTTATAACAGGTAAATGCTAGGTAGAGCGCTTTATCCATATAGCATACTCTCGATGATTCCAATTTTAAATGGAGGTCACAGACTGCGCCACGGAGTTTTAGCGAGCGGTAAACAAGGTATTTACCGGGTAATACTTGGCGCTACCTTTACCCTACCCTCTACCTTACCCCTTGGCATGTCGACATCTTTACCCTATTACCCGGTAAAAAGGGTAAATGACCTTACCTTGCCGAGGCCTACCCAGGAGGAAGGCCGTGCAGCTGCTGGGATGTGTAAAATGTTTTATTTAATATATTTTAGTTGTAAGAGGGGGAAGTCTGATTAATTATTGGATGGAGGATTTGCCTGCGTGTCTAGATAGGCGTTAACGCTGCGTGGAAGGGGAGCGCCTCCGTGCGGCGGCTTAGTTTACAATGTTACAGTGGACGTGGGTGGTGATGGGTGACGGTGATTGGGAAGTGGAGAAAGTGCCTGAGGTGGTGACTGGTAAAGAAAGTGCCTGAGTGGAGAAGGCAACTGGGAAGTGGAGGTGACTGGGAAGTAGAGGTGATTGTAAAGTGGAGAGTCCCTGAGTGGAAAATGTGACTGAGAAGTGAAAGTGCCTGAGGTTGTTACTGGTAAAGAAAGTGCCTGAGTGGAGTAGGCAACTGGGAAGTGGAGTGGAGGTTGACCGGCAAGATGAGAAAGTGACCGAGTTGGTGACTGCCAAGTAGAGAAGGTGATTGGAAAGTGGAGAGTCCTTGCGTGGAAAATGTGACTGAGAAGTGAAGAAAGTGCCTGAGGTGGTGACTGGTAAAGAAAGTGCCTGAGTGGAGTAGGCAACTGGGAAGTGGAGTGGAGGTTGACCGGCAAGTTGAGAAAGTGCCAGAGTTGGTGACTGCCAAGTGGAGAAGGTGATTGGAAAGTGAAGAAAGTGCCTGAGGTGGTTACTGGTAAAGAAAGTCCCTGAGTGGAAAATGTGACTGAGAAGTGAAGAAGGTGCCAGAGTTGAGGTGACTGGTTAGGAGTACCTGAGTGGAGAAGGTGACGGGGCAAGTGAAGAAGGCGACTGGTGAGTAGAGAAGGCAACTGGGAAGTGGAGTTGACTGGCAAGTGAGGAAAGTGCCCGAGTGGAGAAGGCGACTGTTGAGCGGAGGTGGCTTGAGTGAAGGTGTCCGAGTGAATATTGGTGTCAGCGGGTTGGTGCAGGGCATCTGGGGCCGACACTGCGCCAAGCGAGGTGTTGCTTAGCGAGGTTGTTACTATTGTCGTGGGTCAGGAACCAGAGGAAAACGTATGTGAGGCAACACTATTTATTTAACTGTAACTGAATACAAGGTCCTTAACAGAAAGGGGTAACGGCTCCTTTCACCCGATACCTGAGGAGGTATGGCCTCCGGGCTACACTTCCGCTTAACACTGGGACCACTCTAGCTCTGAGGCCCACTGACCCGACCGTCCCAAGGTCTCCAGGTCTTGGCCGCTGGACTCACTGAGCTCCGGCCCTTAGGACAGTGGAGCTTGGAGTCCATGGTCCTAACTTCAGCTCCGTCTTTGATCTTCAGCGTGGAGATGATTGAGCTGGACCTGTCAGAGGTCCGGCTTATATACAGGTCCGTGGCTTGCTCCGCCCTAGCCACGTGTCCCTTCCAAAACCTTCTGGAAGGTGACATCACCTAATCCCACCCTCCCGGGGTTTGGGGATGTGTCCCAGGATCAGAGGTCGCAAACGGGTTTTGATTCCTTACCCGTACCCGGCCGCACCAGGGTCGCAAATGGGTACCCGTACCCGACCGGGTAAGGGTAGCCGTTCCCTACCCGTACCCTACCCGAAATGAGTGACAAACGGTTACTCACCAGTGACTCACGGTCTACCCGTACCCGGCCGCACCAGGGTCGCAAACGGGTACCCGTACCTGGTCGGGTACGGGTAGCCGGGTATCGGGTACCCGGTTGCGACCTCTGCCCAGGATCTGTTTTCCCAGGGATTGGCTTTGGCTCCTTGGGACATGATCTTGGCGTGACGCCGCTTCCGCCCCCTGTTGATGAGAAGGGGGAGCTTCCCGCTAACAGCATGGGGAGTGCCAATTAATACCGCTACACTAAATTTCGATTTAAAGCTTTCGTGACTGCAGGGATTCATCTTCTTGGTTCTTTCGGTAAAGTCATCACGTAGAAGGGAAGTAATAAAATAATAAAAATCAAACTTAAATAATTCTCACGTTTCGGCCACAACGCAAGCAGCCGTCCTCAGGTGAAGAACAGGTCTGTCGGGGAGACAGCGTCTGAATGATCATTCGCCGTCTCCCCGACAGACCTGGTCTTCACCTGAGGACGGCTGCTTGCGTTGTGGCCGAAACGTCGTGAGAATTATTTTATTATGTTTTAGTTTTATTATTTTATTACTTCCCTTCTACGTGATGACTTTACCGAAAGAACCAAGAAGATGAACCTCTACACGACTGTGGAGCTTTGTTGCTCGTGAGGAGGCTCCGGGTGAAGTAGTTACACACTCGCCGTGAGAGCCCAGTGCGGATGGAATAAAGGAACCAACCATGGGCAGGCAACGGCGTGTCCCTTTGAATTTGAGATGATGCTGGTGGCAATTATGCTAATGTTGGGTGATGCTGCTGTTGGTGATGATGCTAATGATGGTATTGGCCGATGCAGTCATTGATGCTGCTGGTGATTGATGTTGCTGTTGCGTATTCTAATGATGCTTGTGATTTAACTCGGAGGTATACAAAGCCAATACCACATTTCCTGGTCGATGTGTGGGTTATAGGTGTGACACGTTAGGTGATGCACCAGGCTAGGGTCAAGGGACAGACCCTAGCAGGTGCTATGCAAATCACCCGTGCTCCCCACTGTGTCACCTAGCTGCGTTTTATCCGCCTTGGCGCTGCGCCCGTTGTTGTGAGCGTCGCTCACCCACACCCCGCGCGCGCTCTCGCGACACTCAAGACTCGGCTGCTCGTCTCATACTCGGCCTATTTTTATTAAAAAATGGGGGACGAATCCTTTCGACAGACCTATGAAGTGAATTATTTACAAAAACAAAAGCAACTTGTCAAAAAAAATGATCTTGAACAGAAAAAAAAAATCGAAATAACGGAGAGAGAACGCGCGGTACAAATCAAAACTCGGGAGCGGAGGAGGCAGCTACTCTACACGCGGGGTACACACACGAGGTGGTGGTGACAATGATGGGTGGGGGGCTGGGGGGGGGCCCGGGAGGGGGGGGAAATGGAGGCACACACTGAGGAAGGGGTAGACGTATGGCGAGCGAGATGGGAGAGGGGAGGTGCTGATGGGGTTAGGAGCCATAGAGGCGAGGTGGGAAGGGTGGCAGTAGCTCCAGACCTCGCCCAGGACGCTGCGTGCGGTGCCCTGACCACTCGCCCAACCATCCAGGGGTGGGGCAGAGCTATGGGTGAGGCAAACATGTAAAACGCACAAAGCAGCAGCAGCAGCAGCAGCTAAGCATCCTATTCATACGAATTCATCTGTGATAACGGGGGGGGGGGGGGGGGGGGTCTCACACTCCACGCCTAGCATTTTGTACAGCGCAGCAGAAGGCAGGGCTGGCCACCTCCGTGGGTGGGTGGGTGGGTGGTGGTTACACCTCGCGAGAAGAATACCTCTGGTCAATCTGGTGCAGGGGGGAAGGACGGAGCTTCTGGTCCACCCGAGTGGCGTTGACTACGGGGGGGGGGGGGGGCTCTGAAGATAGCCACGGAGGGCACGCGGTTGAATTGGTTGGGTATCAAAAAGGGGGGAACGGTAGGGAGAGACGGGGTTTCGCAAGGGAGAGGTAGGTGGGGAGAGGAAAGGGCGGAGGGATACGAAGGGAAGGAGAAATGGAAGAGATTGGGGGGGGGGAGGGGAGGGGGGGGGGAGGGGAGGGGGGGGGAGAGATGAGGAGACGAGGGCGGGGTAAGGGGCACAGGGTGAGACTGACGGAGAAACATGGAGATGGCTGGGGGGGGGGTGTAAGAGACGCGGGGGTAGAGAACCGTACGCAACCGAAAAAACGACGATAAAATATAACAAGAATAATAACAACAGTGAGACGATGCCGCCCTCCCACCACCACCACCATCGTCGTCGTCATCGTCGTCATCATCGTCACGATATAAGGACAAATCACTACGAACGCGAGAAGTCGGAGACGCGAGGAGGGTGGGGGGGGGGGGGTCACAGACCCCCGGCTCGGCCCCTCGCCACTCCTGGACTTGCGACGGGCCAACTGAGACCCAGAAAGGCCCTTAACATAATAACTTCCATAGACACACCCCCCACCCGTGCCCCCCCACACCCCACCCACACCCCACCCCAGTCACACCCCCAGACCGAGTCGTCTTGAAGTCGTTCGGAGGGTACCCCCCCACCCCCCCTCCCCGAACCACGGCGCATTGGGTTTCACAATCCCGGTCAACCCCGCGCCCTCGCATCCCAACCGAGAAACAACCTTCAGCACCACAACCACCACCACCACGACGACCCGGGACACGCACACTCAACGCCTCCTCCCCTCGCAGCGCCTCTAGTACCATGAGGGGCGCGGGCAGCTGGTCGCCACGCCGAGAGCACACCCCCCAAATCTCCGGCACCACCGCTTAACCCCACTGCGGCCGTAGCTACCCAGCCAACACCGCTCCCAGCAGCAGCGGGATTCCGCGGGAGGAGGGGGGGGGTGGCACAGCTCTGAGTAGGTGCAAGTAGTCGCCGCTGTGGGGGGGGAGGGATGGGGGTCTGGGGTCATTCAATCTCCGAAATAAAAAAACAAGTTCTAATCTATTCACCAAAAGGGGCGCCCCGTCTCCAAAGCGGCCACGGTCAGAACCTGCGCGCGAGAGGAGGACCCCCCACCACCACCACCACCCTGACGTGTCGTGGTTAAATGGGACTATAAAAGCCCACCCCCCATTTGCCATGATGATGAGATCGATTCTCTGGAGGGGGGAGGGGGTGGGACAGGACGCGTGCCTCCCAGTGCCCTCGGCCCATTGGCTGCTGCGATGGCGTGCGTCCAGGTGAGGCGGGGCGCCATGCGCCACAACTCGTACCAGGACCATCAAATTCATGGAGAGGGGGGGGGGGGGCTTCTGTCGATATCCTCCACAATCACATCATCGAATATTGTGGACAACTCGTAGCTTGGCCTAATTACGCCCTCCGCGTGAGATTCGAATCGTCGTTTCAAAACCAACCACCGTCCCCCCCCCCCAGCACACACCACCCTCAACACCACGACCAAACTATGATCACAGGGGGCATCGGGTCAACATCTCCCGAGACCCAGGAGGCTCGTGGGTGCAGGGAGGTAAACTCCCGCAGCAGGTGCAGCGCCATCAACGGGAGTGACCGGGCTGCATCGTCGTAATTGTCACTAAAAGCCACCTCCTCCTCTTCATCGTAAACGTAAAAACGGACTCTGGGATGGATGACGACGATGCCTCCTCCCGCAGGGAAGGATCCCCACTTCACCCACGCTACTCGCTATCATCGTCCTCCTCCTCCTCCTGACCCAGCACCAGAATCTACACCGCTTGGGTCCACCACGCAGGTCGAGTTGGGGGGGGGGGGGGGTGGATGCAAGCGCGCGTGTTGTGGCATGGTGACGGGGGGAGGAACGGACAGCGTGGTGGCCAAGATCAAGGTGACCGACAATTCTAGGATGTGGGGCAGAGCGACCCTGCTAACGCCGTGACGCAGCTCGCACCGCACCAACAGCACCGGCACAAACGGCATCGGCACGGAACCCCAAATGCTGTCACGACCACCGTGGTGGCCACAGTGGCACCACCCCTTAGCCAAACGTCGCCAGTCGTCCCCTACCACCATCACAACCCACGCCACAACCCACGCCGCCACCCAACCCCAACCCACCACCACCGTGGACACTGCCGAACCGCGTGCGGTGAAGAGGCGGTCGGCACGGCACATCACGCAACTCGTGCGGGGGTGGCTGGCGCTCCCGCGGGGGTTCCAATATCTCGGATATAGTTTAGTTTTTTTGTCTACGTTTTTTTTTTTTAAAAGGAAATTTCCGTTTAATTCGGAATAACAAGAATAACCAGAGCGATAACGATCGTCGTAATTATAATAATAAAAAAATGAAACCACAGCGGTAATGAAAGCGTCACCATGCACAATCTAAAAAGGAATAAAAAGCCGACGGTCGTCACCTCTCTTACATTTTGTTTAAAACCTGCGGCCACCACGGTAGCTCGGAGGTGCCCCGTGGGAGGGGGGGGGGGGCGGTGGAGGGTGGTGGGGGGACATCACTCACCCCCCCCCCCCTCGCAATTCCCCCCCAACCGACCGCCAGTGCGCGAGGACTCACTGACGATTCCCAAACTCAGCGGCCCCGGGGCAGCTGCGCCCGTTTGATTTGCGCTCTCCCCTGACGCTCGCGCGGGCGACTGGCAGCGCTACCCACTGCTCGCCCACCCCCCACCCCACCCCCACTTCCCCCCCCCATCTCCCTCCCCCCTCCTCCTGGAGAAGGCGCCACCCCAAGCACCGCCGCGTGACCGTTGAAGCCTTCGCGGATCGGCGGCAGCGGCGGCCCAAGGAAGCGGAGACGCCCGGCGGCGGAGGATGGCGTCCCCGGGGAGGCGGTTGTGGCGCTGGCGGGCGCCGTGACGGAGCGGGCGGGGCACCGAGCGAGCGGGCGAGCGAGCGAGAGCACCATGGTTGTCGCGACGCGTCGCGCGTGGAAGTGGCGCCGCCGCCGTTGCCGGGTGCGGCAACGCGCGCGGTCGTGACGCGGGAGGACCGAACGGCACGCGGGGCCGGGGTTGGCGGGGCGGGCGGGGGGGGGGCGATGGGGGGAGCACAAGCAGCGCCGGAGCTTCACTCGGAGTCGCTGGTCTCCGAGGAGCTGGAGCCGCTGGAGCTGGAGCTCTCCGAGGCGGAGGAGCTGCTGCTGCTGGCGCTGAGACGGCCGCCGGCCTCGCCCCCACCGTCTGAGGAAAGCGCAGCAGGCATTAGACACGCACACGGCTGACTACAGGCTGTTGGGGCGAGCATCTGTGAAGGCCGGCACGGCACACTAGCGCGGGTGGGTGGTCAGCACCACGCCCGGCCGCCTTTGTCTCCCCAGTGGCGAAGTTTACTACAGACAGTACCAGGTACTCATTTGATGCGGAGTCAACTTAGGGGAGGCCCAATCACAAACGCCGCTTTTCTACTGACACACCCGAGCACG